CAAAAAAGGGGAAGACTAGGAAAGTACTTGGCATAATTCTTATCAGGTTTAGAGACCTTTTGTCTGGTCATAGAATCATGCTGGTCCAGACCCTTCAAGCCCTGAGACAGTGTCTGTCCATCTGTCCAGTCAGTGTCTGCCCGGAGTGGGGACTCGGCCTCTGCCCTTTGGGTGCATCTCCGTGAGCTGTGTTGGAGGTGCCAGGGCTGCCGGTGCCCACCGCACTCCCCCGTCTGTGCTCTAGCTGTCTGAGGTCTTTGTTTTCCTCTGCCTGGAGGTCTGCGAGCCTAGCCAGGGCCGCGCCGGGCTTGACTGCGTTTTGTGGTGACACGTGTGTTCTCACCCCCTGCCTTTGGTTTTTTCAGGCCTAGCTCTGCTAGCCCCAGTGGGAAGCCCTCTGGACCAGCAGTTAACATGGGCTCTGTGCAGGGACACTACGCTCACCAGGTAGAAGATGGCTTTCCAGACCCTCCAGCCCCGGACGCTTAGGCCCGTCTCCAAGCGCCAAAAGAGAAGGGACTGTCCACCCCATTTGCGTGCTCCTCTTATAAAGAGAGACGTGCCCTGGCGCTTAGAGCATGGCCGGGAGCCGGGAGCTGAGTCCCTCTGGCGAAGGCATGGCTCCTGATGGGCGTCTGGATCCTTCCTTGTCCTGCAGAGAAGGGAGGATGCGGAATCCTCGGAGGAGGTGACGCCGGAGGTGGACTATCCCTCCGTAGCGATTGGGCCGTGAAGGCGCTGGGACGGGGTTAGGTCTGGGGGTTGGCTTAGACCCGGGGCGTGTGTGCGTGCCGTGCTAGCTCTAGTAAGTGCTGTCTCGTCTTTGTCCTGGCTGGGAGGGGCTGTGATGGAGTGGTGTGTCCCATTCTGTAATTACGGGATTGATTCCTCAGTGTCTTTGCCGTTGGCACTGTTCTCTTCACTGCTGCCCCAAAATGTGTCAGGGCTCCAGAGCTCAGGCGTGTCAGCTGGGATTTTAGGAAAGCAGGGCTCCTTGCTGGTGGAGGTGGAGGGTTGGCCACTCATTTCACTCCCGACGTGATTCCTTGGAGGCAGCTCCTTGAGTTCTTGGATTGAGCTTCTAAAGCCTTCTTCCAGAGTCCACACCACAGTGTGGGGCAGATTGAGGTGGTCACTTTGTGACACACTGCCCAGTGCAGACCTGCAGATAAGGGACCCTGACTGCGAATCTCGAGGTCAGACTCAGTCCTGGGGCAAGGTTCCCACAGACAGCGAGTCTGGAGGGTCAGAGGTCTGAGAGAACCAAGTCTGCCCGGAGGCCCCGCCCCTCAGGAGACAGGCAGGTCTATGCAGGGGCTGTCACCTGTGGGCATGGGGTGCACTGATTTGAAAAGGTTTTCCAGTCAGCCTTGGATGTGCTGCCCCTGCAGAGGCCCCCGGGTATCGCAGAATGCTCCCCGGAGGACCCGGCGTCTTCCTGCCTCTCCCAGTCACTGCCCACAGTGCCAGTGGGCAGGGAGAGCAGCGCCCCCTGTGTCATTTCAGGAGGGCTGCTTCTGAGTCTGTCCTCCACCAAGGGGTGGGCTCCTTAGGGTGGCTTTTCTCTGTGACTCAGGAGCGGGAAGGGTGGTGGGAACTGTGTATCCAGGTGGCTGTTGCTGAGTGAGGGTAACCCCTTCATCTCCCTTCATCTGTCCAAAGGCAAAACCACGAGTGGATGAAAAGCCCAGCCTGGGAGCCGTGAAACTGCAGGAGGCCCCCTCGGCCGCCCCCCAGATGAAGCGAACAGGAGCCATCAAGCCTCGGGCGGTGAACGTGGAGGAGAGCAAGGCCTGAAGGTGCTCCGCCGCACCGCCTCACCGCGGGGACAGTGCTGCCCTCGGCCTCGCCTCAGCACAGATGCTCCGGAATCTCAGCAGCTCCTCCGTCCAACCACCTGGCCCAGGCGGAGAGAAGTCCCTTCTCTTCTCCACTCCTGAAAGCTCCGACGTCCAACCAGCTTGCACCGTGGATGTGTGGCGTTGACCTGCTTGCTTTAATACGGAACAAACAGCAAACGACCCCATCCCGCCTCCTTCTCGCCTGGCCTGTGTGAGGACTTGAGCCTCGATCAGCGCAGAGCAGCCCCCCTCCCCCACCCCCCGCATCGGGGCTGCTCCTCAGCCAGGCGGGTGCTTTTTCTCAGTGCTTCCTACCCCCCGTCCCCAGCAGGGTGGTGTGGCAGCAGGGTCCTTTCAGTTTGAAGCTATTTGTTTTAAAAAGCAGCTAAGGTTTTTACAAAGGAGGAGGGAAAACAAAACACGAGCTATGTCTGTGCAGCTGAACTATATGTGCTCTTTGCCAGCCTCTCCCAGGCTCTCATGTTCCAGTGCTTTCCTTTCCCTTTCCTTTTTTAAGTTGATGTGTCACTGCAACACTCCCTCCTGCTCTCTCTCGGCTGGTTAGCTTTTGAGGTTACATAAGACACTGGCCTGCGCACCCTGGTATCCAGCTGCGTGCTCTGGAAGTCGTGGGCTCCAGCCTGGCCCAGAGGCTCATGGGCACCCCAGTGAGGTGGAGTTTAGCGTACGAATTTCTGTCCTGGACTCTTCTAAAGCCAGTGGACATGCTGACTGCTGGCCCCATGGTGAATTAGAGCTACAGTCACTGGTGTGTTTCAGGTTGGCCTGGACGTGTGAGCAGACAGTACCACAGGGCCCGCCAGCGTCTCTGCTCATGGGGCTCTAGCACCCGCAGGGCTGCTGGTCACACACTCCCTCTCCTGGAAGCCCTTCACCCTGTGCCGTTCTCCCTTATTCCTCCTGGGCCCACCTCTTTCTTGTCTGGATTCCAGCCTCCCCCC